ATTCTATTAATTCCTTAGATATTGATTTGTTCACATTTCGGATATGAACCTGAGCAGATATGGAGTTTAGAGAAAAATATCTTAGAGGTGGAAATCTGTTTTCCTTAAAAGGGAAAATAGAACAGTGCTGGACAGTGTATTTACTTGACACACCACTGAGTCAGGTTGTGACACAAGGTCGGTTTTTAACGTGGGGACCCGAGTGTTTTCACTTAGACCGCTGGTCTAAGCTGGTCTTAGCTGGTCATAGATTGTCCAAGCTGGTCAGAGCTGGTCTAAGCTAGTCATAGTTGGTCTTGGCTTGTCATAGCTGGTCAGAGCCGGTACAAGCTAGTCGTAGCCGTGATACCACCAGTACAGGACCGAAGCACAAGTGCCAGGTAATTATGAACCCTGCTGGACAGTGACTCTCTTTGTAGCCGAGTGGTTTAACAAGCCGGAACGAAAATGTGGTTTCTCCTACAAAGTAGGATTGAAGTTCGGTCTCTGCCGGAGCGCACATCTTCGTTTAGATTTTTTGAATGTGCAGGCCGATAGACATAGTAATAATAAATAATATAGCGTAAAAATATATAGCGTCTATTTTAAATACGAGTATTCACTATAACGACGATTGAATGCCTGATTAGATATAAATCTATTCTTTAGAAATATATGTTGATTAAGAAGAATTTAAAATATAGCACTCGTATACATGTAAGAAAAAGAAAATACACGCGTGTGTGTGTGTGCATGCCTGTGTGTAATGATTATCTCCGCTCAAAATGCAATCGGCCGGCCGAGTCAAATTTAGCCGTAATATTTCACACTAATATCCTATGATATAAATAGCAGGGAAGACTGTTGTCTGCAATCTTGTCCAGTAACCAGCATAAAAGTTCGAAAACTGAATTCAAAATCATGGATACGACAACGGAATAGCACTTCAATATTAGACTCAGTTACTCGTGGCAGTTTACAAGTAATAATTAAAAGTTATCGAGAGTCGGTATCGCGTATGTTCTTAAAATACACAGTTATATATATATATATATATATATATATATATATATATATATATATATATATATATATATATAAAAAAGAGGGTGCCGCAAACGTTTTTTGGTTGTAATGTGGATTTATTGAGAAAAAATATTATACTTTTTTTTACATAATTTCACGACACGTGTTTCTGGTCTACATTAAACTCGTTTAAAGAAAAAAAATGGAGATTTTTACATATTATTAAAAATAATTAATTTTTCTTCATGTTCAATGTGGAATATTCTCGATATGAACATTGAAGAAAGAAAATTCGGATTGCCAACACACACAAACAGAATGTCTCATATCGAAAAATATTCCACATTGAACATGAAAAAAAATTAATTATTTTTAATAATATGAAAATCTCCACTTTCACCTGAAGACGGTTGCGAGACCAGACCAGAAACACGTGTCGAAATTATGTAAAACAAAGTATAATATTTTTTCTCAATAAATCCACATTACAACCAAAAACGTTTGCGGCACCCCTCTTTTTTTAATATACATACTTTTCTCTCGTTGGAACCACTACAACATATTTCTTTTATATATATATATATATATATATATAGGGACGGTTCAAGGGTTTTGAGGGCTCCCACGGAATCTATGATACAGGGCCGCCCACTCAACTACATCTCAATGTCTGTAAGGTGCTACTCATATTAAATACAAATTTTATTGTAACCTAATTAGTTACAATAATGTATCATATGCTTTGTAGGTGAACAGCTCAACTAGGAAAATTGAAAGTAAATATAATTTATCTAAATACAAATTAGAGACATGCCATAATAAATCATTTGATATTAAACAAACCGATGTTTTCGGCAATTTTTAACATCATCTTGAGATCTTTCTTGCTAAAAAGCTGAATAATTTTAACACATTCTATATTATGGAAAAAGTAGTAAATTTTGTGTCATTTTTTTTTTTTCGTTAGCAAAACAAATTCCCGGATTTGGATAAGGAAAAAAGAGGCCAGAATGACGTCAAAATACTCAAGAAGTTTTCAAGCTTTAACAGTTGTACTTAGTTTAATTTGTAATGCATATAAATGAAATAAAGGTAGAAGAAAGGCAAATATAGTTCATTTAGCTGATAGAAGGTACTCTATCGTGTTAGATGTTTCAACATTTCTTATGACCAATGATTTGAACTTGATATGATTCTTTTCTATTCAGAGCAGAAACTTTTCTCGATAAGCTGTCAATCTGACAGACGAATGGACACAACCAAAACTTTACTGCAAAGAAGTGGAGTTCATCTTTAATGTATCTCGTTTGTTTGGCTTGAGTGCTCACCGAGAAAGAAAAAAAATTACGACAGCTCGGAGCATTTTCCATGTCTATCTTCCTGACAACTCATTTACATATCACCGTGGGAAACAATTTATTATTATTCTGTGGTAACCGCGGAAATAGACATGAGATTTACCGCGATAGCCTTGAAGATAAAAATAAAGAGATTGTAAACTTGTCTACGCTCGTCTGTAAAATTATTCGAAAGTTTGTCTGAATACATCCTCAGGTAGTACAACGTATTCGAGACCAGAAGCGATCAGTTGGCGGAGTCTGAGCAGTTATTTTTCAAAAACATTGATTTTAAGGAATAAAACGTGCCAAATTACCATTCAGCGATGCCAGTATTTCGTTTAGCTAGTTTTAACATCAATTATGGGGTCTCTACTGATACTTGTTTCAGAGAAATTGGATACTTGTATGTTTGTCTGTTCATTTGCTTCTGACGGCTTTTGATTTTGTCGCCTCTTGTTCGAGTAAGACTACTTTGATATTAGAATGGTTCACTTCTCTTCCAAAACAACACCGTCTAACTCTTGCAAAAGTCCCCCTTAAAATTCTACGCCTAAAAATTTGATGGGATCATATAAAGCTTAAAAAACTAAAACTTTAGTTATCACGTTTATCCCCAAAGTTATAAGTTGTAAGTTCGATCTTTAATTATTGATCCATTATCGCACCCTCGTGTTTGATAAACTTATGCGAAAACAAGGCATATTTTGTTAGTCGCATATAGAATTGCCTGTCGCTTCGATCCATACACTTACCCACAAGCGATAGAAATTAAGTTTGATTCTTCTCATATATATATATATATATATATATATAGTAGCGGCCATAATATAAGGAACGGAAACAACAAAGACATAAATATGTGTATTACTTAAAAAGTAATGCATGATTACCAATGAAATTTTTATCGAATAAAGATTAGGGTGTAATGCATAAATATTATACAAAGTTACAAAAATTTACATAATAGTTTTTTTTAAAATAAAGATTAAATGGAACAAAGGAAATAAGCTACTGGACAAAAGTTAAGGAACGATGTTAATAATTTGCATAAACTTTTAATTTACATTGTTAAAAAAACTCGATGGAGCTTTTCAACAATAAGTAAAAGTTCATTTATCATTAGGACTTTATTTTTAAGCAATATGGCAAATTCTACATGCAAAACGCTCTTTTTTGAAGAAAAAAAAACTCATTATCACTATCAAGAAAAAAAGTCAATTTCAGAAATTTTTGATATTGTTCATAGGTCTTTATACCTGCTAATTACACGTTTATCGTGTAATTAGCAGGTATAAAACCGATAAAACGTTAGATGCAAAAACAAAAACCGGCAGACCTCAAAAAACTTCGCAAAGAGAAGATCGAAGAATTGTTAGAATATCTACAAAAAACCGTTTTGAAACTGCTACATCAGTTGCCCGTAAATTTAATGAAGAGACAGATAATAAGATCTCAAGGAAAACGGTTGCTCGCAGGTTAAAAAACGCAGGATTGCATGCCCGTATTCCAGCTTCGAAGCCTCTCATTTCAAAGCGAAACCAAAGTGCACGCCTGAAGTATACGAGAGGACATGTTGTTTGGACTGACGCACAATGGGATACAGTTCATTTCAGTGACGAGTCCAAGTTTACTATTTTTGGTTCTGAGTGCAAAACTTACGTACGCTGTAGAACAGGTGAAAGACTGTCTTCTCAATATGTCAAGAAAACCGTTAAGTTTGGTGTCGGCAGTGTGATGGTGTGGGGAATGATTTCATCTGCAGGAGTTGGCCCTATCATCCACGTACATGGCAATATCAATGCTGAGATTTACAAAAGGCTTCTTTAGCAGCATTGTGGTACCAGGATTGCACCATAATCTTCATGAATCTCTTATTTTCATTCAGGACAATGCACCTTGCCACAAGGCTCAGAAGGTTATGGCTTTATTTGAAGAAGAAGGAATCGCCCTAATGAAGTGGCCAGCCCAGAGCCCCGACCTGAATCCAATGGAAAATGTTTGGAAGATAATTGGAGAAAGGGCTCAGAAAAAAACCCCGAAAAACCAGGATCATCTATGGGAGTTATTGAAAGACGGATGGGAGGGAATTACTGGTGATTTTTGCAAGATATTAATTAGATCATGTGGTCGACAATGCAGAGAAGTCATTGAAAATAAGGGGATGTTTACCAAATATTAAATTTTGTTGATATTTTGTTCACAATCAAGCATTAACAAGGTTGTTCCTTAACTTTTGTCCAGTAGCTTATTTCCTTTGATCCATTTAATCTTTATTTAAAAAAAAAAACTATTATGTAAATTTTTGTAACTTTGTATAATATTTATGCATTACACCCTAATCTTTATTCGGTAAAAAATTTCATTGATAATCATGCATTATTTTTAAGTAATACACATATTTATGTCTTTGTTGTTTCCGTTCCTTATATTATGGCCGCTACTGTATATATATATATATATATATATATATATATATATATATATATATATATATATATATATATATATATATATATAAAATCAGTGTAGATATCTTAATCGATATTACATGATAATGAAATTCTGTACATAAAGGACTTCAAGACGTGAATCAACTCTATGACACGTCCGGGAGTGTTTCACACCTCATTAATCTTCAGAATGAATGGGTTGAAAATGTCAGTCAAATACAGTGTTGATTCTCCAAATCTATGTCTGTCTATCTATATCTCTTTACTTCTCAAGATTTTCAATGTTGTTCTCTTTCTCTCTATTTCTTTATTTCTATTTCTCTACCTCTCTATCTCTATTTCTCTACTGCTCTACACTTCTCACCTCTCTATACCCCTCTACTGCTCTATATCTCCTAATTACATATGTAAAATTAAAAGATTCTTCATGTTAATATTGTTAAAAATTCACGTGTGTAAAAATGTCCAGCTATGAACAAACATTTACATAAATGATATTAACTGAATCAAATACCCGATCGTAGCGAAACGGCTTCGAATGCTCTTTTTTCTTTGTTTGTTTTGTTTGTTTTTTTTTCCAAACCGGATATTCCTTCTATTATTTCTATTACATTTATAAGTTCATCACTGAATCACTAATGCAAAACACGGTCATTAGATTTTCGTATTCTGAATTAATGAGAAGTCAATTTTTCCATGTGACTGAAAATTTCAATGATGTTTTCAGGCACAAATTCGAATTAATCCAATCAAAAAGCAACACATGCATTTTATTTTTAGCTCTGATAATCAAAACTTTAATCAGTTTTGCAAACTCCCATTTTACCAAGTGGTAGAAAGATTTAAATATCAACTACCGAAAAGTGAATTTAAAATGAGGTTGATAAATTATCTTATTAAATATGTTCAAAATTGATTATTTGCATTTTGGCTAGATGCATTCCTTAATAGTTGAAGTTTTATGGGGAGGATTTCTTCCTTATTTTCAGAGAATCATTAGTTTGCAAGCAAAATATAGACAGTTCATATAGCTACGTTAAACTTTTTAATTCATAAAACAATCCCATGACAAATGTATGAACTAAAGTAAGAGTCTATCTTAATCCAAATCAGATTAAGTGCAGTATTAGAAGTTTTTGAAGAATAATGATTTAGTGAAATGAATGAGATTCCATTTTAATGAACTTCGGAAGATTTAAGTGAAATCGTAAGAAACGAAATCGCTAATTTTAGTCATTGTAAAACTATATGCCATCAGCCCATATTCTCAATTTTTTTTTCTTTAACCTCTAATGTCTCGAAAAGAACAAGTTATATGTCAAAGATAATATTAAATTTTCTGTTTGCAGAAGCCAATCATGAAGGATACTGTATTCTGGATAACGTTTCGAGATTTTAAATAACGGTATTAAGCCCATTCCTTTCATATGCATTTTTATGACAGATACTGGTGCCTCCACAATTTTCAAGATTTCAATGCTTGCAGAACAGAATCATACACTAAAATGAATAATCCACTATAAGGTTTGTTCATATATTATCTCCCAGCCATTAACATGAAACAAATTCCGCATTTGAAATTTCTTTCATCTTGTGGGCGATTTTTGGTTCCAATTTTCTTTCAATATAATTTAATTTGCTTTTTATCAAAAAATACTTACACCATCAGTCTATTATTATTTGAGATGAAACATAAGGAAATGTTTGTTTGGAACCAAATCATGCCATGAAAACGGATTCCGTGCTTTTTTTTTTTCTCAAAAGACCATTATAAAATAAGATCAACTGCGAGTGGAAAAATGACAGATGAGATCGAAATTCATCGAGAACATTCCCCACATTGTTTACTAATTTCCATAGAATAACACCAAGAAGTAGTACGATCTGGCGTAATGATTAGCAAGCTTGTATCACTAAATCATTTACGACTAAATAGTGACCCAAACTTTCGGCCTAGTGTTATCTCTATATTTATCTATCTCTATTTATAATTTATTGAATTGAATTAATATTTGTGATAAGTAACTTTACATTATTTGGAGTTAATTAACAGAAAAGATCCTTATTTAGATTTCCAATTAAAATTGTTCACGCTTTATCATTTGTATCATCTCATTGTGCCTCAGGGGCAATTGAAGTTCATTAAAAATTTTTTTTTTAAATTTGTTTGAAGCCATTCATATCTTTTACAATAAAAATGAATTACATTTAAAGCAATAAAATGGGAGGAACAGTAGTTTATCCAATTATTATGCAATAAATATAAGAAGCCTATCCGTTCATTATATAAAATGAAATATACAATATATATTGTTATCCTTTATTATATATATATGCGAAAAATGAATGAACTCTGGCTTTTTTTTTGTTTCGACGTATGAATGCCACAGATCAGGGCAAAAAAACCGACAAACATCCAAAGAATTAAGATCTGATTAAAGATGGTTTCCAAACTCGAATGTACATACATGAACTTTAAAAAAAAAGGCCTCTCATAAGTTAAGCCCGCAGAGCAATATATTCTACAACACTATTACTTTTTTTATTCTTTTGTTTTATTCTCCTAAATGCTTATGATACATGTTGTGACATTTCTGGCTCCCTCAAAGTAAATTTCAACGGACTAATTTCGTTCTCCGAATACCCGTAATTTCTATTTTTCGCTGATGACAATATTCCATTTATCTTTAGGTTTATTCGCATCTATGTATAGGCTCAACGAAATTCAAATATTAACATTAGATCCGGAGGGAATGTGGAGATGAGTAGAAACATCCTAAGAATTAATGTAAAATTCGGGGAATAAAATGAAAGAGGACTTGAGATATTAAAACACAATGACGAGAAAGTTGATTGTTATTTTAGTTATATAAAAAATATTAACAGAATAATTCTTAGAGATAAATTTATTTAACCCGGGTCTTCGTAGATTTTATAAAGTGAGGCGTATTACTGGGTATAAGCAGTTAAAATAGCTAGATTAGTTCTGTAGTCAGTTTCTTATGGTTTGTAATAAATGTCCGTAATCCGTTTCCTTGTACCAACAGTGAAAGTATGAACTTAGATCATACTTATCCAACACATTTTCATTCTGCAGTTGCAGTCGAAGAACCCTTCTCTGTCACCTTTTTCTGAAAATATTTGTAGAAAAAGTGAGAGGTCATATGTGATAAAAAGTGTCCAAAATGAGATCTGGCCAAGATCTATCGTTTTATATTTTATATATATATATATATATATATATATATATATATATATATATATATATATATATATATATATATATATATATATATATATATATATGTGTGTGTGTATTTATGGGATAACCTGGCCATTTTTCTTTTTTTTGTGTGTGGGGTAATTATACAGGCAAGTGAACGTCCGAATCAACCCTTTCGTCCTTTAAATACTTTCTCTAGTCTTACAAGTTCATTATAATGTACAGTATATACTTTTGTAACGTGCGATCTTTATTTAAAATGCAGCTTTACTGTTTGACTAGAGTAAATGGATATATTGTTTATTTCAATATTATATTCTCCCAACGGCGCTACATATATGGTTTAATTAATTTTATATCAAATATGAAATTGAGACTTTTAAAAATTTGTTTTGAAAGTTGGCCTTCCAAAGTCGCATGATACGCCATTATATAAAGAATGTTAAAACATGATTGACAATACATATAATCTCTTTCCGTGCTTATGCGTTTTTGAAATTTATGCTTACGAATTCATAATACAATGGAAATTACTAATCAAGTATAACTGTATTATCAGTAGAGAATTTAATCCAGGTTGTTACAGTTTTTAACATATGAAGAGTTAATTCTTGCAAGAAGTGTGGTTAATAAATTACTATTGCTTTCGTCAGTCGATTGGACACGAACAGCTCATTTACAGATATGATTCTTTTTTAGAATGTTTTTTTTTTTTTTTTTTTTAGAATTCAAAAAAAATTAAAAAACACACAAACATTTATTAATGTAATTGGAAAGTTGATTAATAATGTGGTTAAATGATCTACCAAAATGCACATGTTTTTTGGCATTAATATATTTGGAATTCACTGTAATTCCCGTAGATTTATGAATACATAACCGTCTTCGAACAATTATCCCTTCGCGTAGTAAAAATTCAGACTGATTGAAAAACTGAGATGCTTAAATATAACAAATTCATGGATAGTTTAGATTAAAAAACATTTATAGAAACTTATCGTCTCTAATTTTAACTATATCAAGAAAAATTATAAATATATATATATATATATATATATATATATATATATATAGATCCGATAGTATGAAAAAAATATATACGGAAAAAACAAACAAAAATCCTTATATACAATTATTATGCTGTTTTAATGTTAATATGTCAACGTCGGACGTTTCGGTCTAATAAACCATCTTCAGGACATATTCATAAATTATAACATTATCAATACAACATGACAAATAATGTTATAATTTATGAATATGTCCTGAAGATGGTGTATTAGAACGAAACGTCCGACGTTGACATATTAACATTAAAACAGTATAAATTGTATATAAGGATTTTTGTTTTGTTTTTCCGTATATATTTTTCTTCATACTGTCGGATCTATATCCATATATTTGCTTATATATATATATATATATATATATATATATATATATATATATATATATATATATATTGAGAACCATATTGGCGAAATTGTATGATAAATTGGAAAAAAGTTTACTTGTAACTCGTTTTTGTGCTTCAGGATTTCATCGGACTGAATTTGTTATGTTGGTATTACTACACATGCGCACGGGAGAGGGTGTGCTGGGAATTTTAGAATATTTTATCTAGCTGAATTCAGTGAGAGTCTTTTACTTTTCTTTCCTTGAATTCAGATAGGAAAAAAAATTCTAACATTCCCAGCACCCCTCTGTCTTATGTGAAGTCCTACCAACTTAACAAATTTAATTTGATTAAGTCCTGAAGGACGAAACGCGTTGCAAGTAAACTAGTCTACTTTGTCATACAAATTCCTGATATATATATATATATATATATATATATATATATATATATATATATATAAACTTAGTGAACCAGACAAACCTACCCAGGTTTCACCTAAGCGGATCGTCAGGAAAGCTGGCTATATATATATATATATATATATATATATATATATATATATATATTACACTCATACTTAGCCTTCTACAGAGAGGGTATAACTAACAATGTTTCTTTGAGAAACCTGTTTGCTTCAGGTTATATGAGTTCAGATTGTTGAACTTGATATATTCTTGTTGAAGATATATTTACTAGATTCAGTGATAACTCGGTCTCTAGCGATTGCAATAAATTAACAAGATCATTTTAAAATCATTTCATTCCAAGCAAGACAATAATACCAC